ATCTTTGTTCACAATTGGCACTCATTTTTCAATGAATTTTTCTGTACCAAGATAAGCAGCAAGTAAAACCTTAGACAGCAGCTTCTGGACAACCGGACCCAGTTAGTATTGAAGTAAAAATATTTTAAAAAGAAAAGAATGGGGTGCCTGGGTGGCTCAGTAGGTTATGCGGCCGACTTCGGCTCAGGTCATGATCTCACAGTCCATGGGTTCAAGTGCTGCATCAGGCTCTGTGCTGACAGCTCAGAGCCTGGAGCCTGCTTCAGATTCTGTGTCTCCCTCTCTCTCTGCCCCTCCCTTGCTCACTCTCTGTCTCTGTCTCTCAAAATAAAATAAAGACATAAAAATAAATAAATAAAAAGAAAAGAAACAGAAAATAATAATAAAAATAATGTTAATAGAAGTTTCCTAGAGTGGCTAAAAGCATAACAATGCCCAAAAAAGAATAGACAGTTTGAAGCTATAGGCAGATTAAATATAATTTTTCACTACAAGCATCCTATTTGTGGAAAGGAAATAAACCGAGTTGAATTACAGTCAAATATAAACTCTTACTCTCTATAGGCTTCTATTTAATCATTTTAACTGATAAGACTATCTTCATTTTTTATTTTTTATTTTTTTATTTATTTCTAGGAGAGAGAGAGAGACAGCGTGAGCAGGGGAGGGTCAGAGAGAGAGGGAGTCACAGACTGAAACAGGCTCCAGGCTCTGAGCTGGCAGTCAGCACAGAGCCCGACGCGGGGCTCGAACCCACGAACCGCGAGATCATGACCTAAGCGAAAGTCGGACGCTTAACCGACTAAGCCACCCAGGCGCCCCTGATAAGACTATCTTCAAAAGAGTTTATGAGTATTATATATTGGATAAGGTGTGTGAAATCTGTTGACATAGTAATCAGCACATATCAGGTACTAAAAGATGTCATCCAAGCATGATATAAAGCTAAAAAGAGTATTTATATCCATTGGGACAGGAAGAAAATTATTTTAAAATATTAAGAAACAGAATCCTTGGAGTTGAAGCAGGCTGTGAGAGAGGCTCTAAATGTTAAATGAAACTCCAGGTTTTCCTACCCTCAAAGCCTGAAGACCACTGAATGGTTCCAACAGGTGTTAGTTCCAACTGCCAGGAGGCCGCAGGAGGAGTAGAAGCCAATTCAAACAGTGCTACACTGAGTGATGAAGATGGGCAGGGAGGTTTCTCCTAGCGTATGGTTGGGGAGATACTCAGGATTTGGAGATTTGTTAAAGTGAACTTAATGTCATTTGAAAAAGTACAATTAGGGAAAGGGAACTCTAGGAGTTTTGAAGCAAGTGATGACATCCATTATGAGGCTGGTTTTTAAAATCCAGAACCAGTCTGGAGGTGTCAGGTGTGAGCAACAGAGCAGAGGGGCCAATATTAGGTGACAGTCTCACCAATGGATTCAGAGAGGCCCTTTAGCCTTTGAGCTCATCACTGGAAGTAAAACACACTTGGGGGTTGGTTGATGCACTGTGATTGTCCCTGCTGCTCCTGAGGGATGGCCTCCAGGGACAATATGTGGCCAGAAAGGGATGCATAATAAAACAAATGGAGAGTTTCCTGACACTGTGTTTCTTTTTGTGTAACAGTCAAAGAGAATCCTTTGTGAGGCTCAAATTGTGAGAGAAAGCCACCAGGAAACAAAAATCCTGCACACCTAGGCCCTCAAAGAAGGCACAAGTAGGAGCCCCTCGACGGCTACTAAAAATATTGGTACAGAAAAAACCTGTAATATTGCTACAGAAAAAAAGGGCTGTGAGTTTTCTTTTGTACTTTTAATCTATAAAATACTATATCTTACAGAAAGTATATTCAAAAATATATAATTTTTTAACAAAACCTTTATTCTTCCTTGCTGGGAACCTCAAATGTCTATCCAGAATGTATTTATTTAAAAATCTCAAACAGGAAAACCTGAGCTGACACTTCTGCTTCACATTATCTTCCAGATAAAAGATGACGGAAGGCAGTGGGCCTCAAATCACTTCAGAGGAGATAAAATATTTGTAAGTAGTGGGTATTGATTTTCATTAAATATTATTAAGCTTTAAGAACTCCTTGGGGCCCTGGGTAGCTCAGTGGGTTAATCATCCAATTTCAGCTCAGGTCGTAATCTCACAATTCATGAGTTCAAGCCCCAAATTGGTCTCTGTTCTGATAGCTCAGAGCCTGGAGCCTGCTTCAGATTCTGTGTTTCCCTCTCTCTCTGTGCCTCCCCACTCTCACTCCCTCAATCTCAAAAATAAACATCTTTTAAAAAGATTTAAGAACTCCTCAATTTGCAGTGAAAGGAAAAATCAACATGTAGTCCCTGGTAGAACCCACAATGACCCACGGCAGGGAGAGAAGGATTTAGAACAGTGAGGCAGGAACAGAAGGATTCTCAAAGACCAAGAAGTCAGCTCCTGAATTGAGAAAGGAAGGAAGAGCACTCACAACCCTTCCAAGTTTTATTACATATAAGAATTTGAAAGAAAAACTGCCTCTTCTTTGTCTGGACATTTTCTTTTCCTCTTCCCTCAAACTTTAAAAACCATTCATTTAAGAGCCACCCTCAAAACATTGAAGGCTTCTTCTCAAGGGCTCCTTATCCTTTCCTTGATTTTGAGGTGAGTTTTTACTGATTTTAACCAAGAGTAAAAGGAGTATTTCTCATTCAAATAAAACCACTCAAAACACACCTTCCTTAACATGCTTCTTTGCACTATTCACATGTCTTACCCACCATTGTCAGTTCCACTGTATAACTATGGCAACAGTAAAGAGAGTGTGGGCACTATATACTTTAGTTAAATTATAGAAAATTTAGATTGTCTAGTTCTGGGCTAAAGCATCATTTCATTCCTTACAGTCAGGGTAAGCCCACAGCCTCCTTCAACGAGCCCACAATCTTGGATTTATGGCTTATAATTTTCCCAATTTCAGCTCACCAGTCTGTTTGTATCCCTTGTTTGCTCTCTGAAGGAACACAATAATCTCCTCATATTTGGTCTCCCTTTGGTATTTAATGGAAAATGCTCTCCTGGAAGATACCTGCCTCATTATCTTAGCTGACATACCTCATGTAAACTATATAGAAAGACTATGAGAAATATATACATAATTTTTTCCTATGGTATATGACATCAGTTCCTAACACAGCTTTCCTTGGCTAAATCTTTCATATTCACAAGTGCAAATTTGACATAACCAAGTTGCACGTGAACAAATTGAATCAAAAACAATATGGAAACACAGCTATTATATACACAGCTGACAGCCATGTAGAAAAAATAGTTTGGGTTTTAGAATCAACATACTCAGAGGGAAATAAAATTTAATGCTACCTTTAGAAATGTGGAAGTGCTTGTCTGTTTGTTTGTTTTAAGATTCTAGAATTAGAGATTTTTGAAAGAGGAGAATTTAATGAGATAATGAACATGAAGTGACTGCCACAATAAATATTTAACACATGACAGTGGTTGTCATTATACATACTATTTGAGAAGTCAAACGTGTTTTAAAGAAAGTATCCAAAAGTGTGTTCATGTTATAAAAGGTTCGAAGAATTAGAACACAGGGCAGGTGAAAGAGGAATGAAGGATATAAGATAGTGGTTTCCAGCTTTGGTTAACAGCCTTATTAAAGTCCTTCTTTATTATAAATAGGAACCTGGTTCAAAGGAGGGAAAGCTATAATACATGCACAATATATTTTTACAGCCATCTGAGAAAAATAGGGTCTATGATAACAAGGTTTATGGGAATAGGGAATGTCCCTTTGTGGGACATTTATGGGAAACTGAATGTTCAAACACTTAAGTTTTAGACCTGTTTCACCCACCAAAAATGAACATGACCTTGGATTAGTCTAGCCTTTCTGGTTTCAGTTTGTGTGATATGAAGAACTGAGCTTGATAATCTCTGAGGTCCCTTCTGCCACTAACAGTCTACACTGGTATATTTCTATCACAGTTTTAGAGTTAAATGTATCCTTTTGTTTCTTTTTTATTGTCTTTTATATAGGACAATTCATCACCATGGAGCAAAAAGATGATGAATCATCTGAGCTAGGAGACAGGTGTTCCTCCATCTGCCTCTGGCTATTTTCCTATTTGAGAACCAGAATCTGCTAATAAAGGAGTAAAGACAACTAGGGTCCTTTTGGTATGAAATTAGCTGTTGCTCAGCAAGTAGAAGTAAAATATAGGTATAAGAAGCTAATAGGTATGTTAACTAACTGGGATTTAAATAAGAACTTTTTTTAAAAAAGCAAGTTAACAGATGCTTGCTAAAATGGAATTTGTGGCATTGTCTTCAGCATGCTCCTTTAGTCAACAGAGCTATTCAGGACAGATCTCCTGACAATACCATGTTATTGACAACAAAGTAAGTAAGATGCTCTTTTTGTATTGACCTAGTTCAATTTCAGGTTATATTTAAACTTTGATTTTTCTTAAAATTTTCCAAAATACTATATAAAATGTTCTTCTCAACAAGGAAAAATTTTCTTTTCAACAAAAATATGATTATAGAATGATATATCAAAACAGAATTAATTTAAGTGCAAACAGAGAAAACAATTTGGACTCTATGTTACATTGAGCCAGTGAAATTTATACTCTGAAAACGGAGATTCATAGAGTGGGGCTGTGGGAACATACCAGTTTCTGTAAGAACCCTGATCTTACTGGGCGAAGTCAGATCCTGGGAAATGAGTTATTGACTTAAGAACCATATACAGCCCAGGAGTGCCTGGGTGGCTTAGTCGGTTAAGCGTCCGACTTTCGCTTGGGTCATGATCTCGCGGTTCGTGGGTTCGAGCCCCGCGTCGGGCTTTGTGCTGACTGCCAGCTCAGAGCCTGGAGCCTATTTCAGAGTCTGTGTCTCCCTCTCTCTCTGACCCTCCCCTGCTCACACTGTCTCTCTCTCTCTCTCTCCAAGAAATAAAAATATTTAAAAAAAAAAAAAAAGAACCATATACAGCCTGTGCACAAAAGTGTATTAAAGGAGTATTTAAGAGTCATAAGAAATAAAAATAACTTTTAAAGAGGGGAAATGATTCGTATAATAATCCTTATTGCTCGTTCCCTTCATGGATTAGGAGAATGAGCATCTCAGAAGGCAATAATATCTCTGGGTCTGTGAATGAGTTCATCCTCCTGGGCTTCCCATGCCGCAGAGAGATCCAGATCCTCCTCTTTGTCATCTTCTCCCTCATCTACCTTCTGACTCTCATGGGGAACACATCCATCATCTGTGCCGTGTGGTCAAGCCGGAAACTCCACACGCCGATGTACATCCTCCTTGCCAACTTCTCTTTCCTGGAGATCTGCTATGTCAGTTCTGATGTGCCCAAAATGTTGGCCAACATCATCTCCCAGACCAAGAGTATCTCCTATGCTGGCTGCCTGCTCCAGTTCTACTTTTTCTTTTCTATGTGTGCTGCTGAAGGCTACTTTCTGTCTGCAATGTCCTTTGATCGGTTCCTTGCTATCTGTCGACCTCTACATTATCCCACCATCATGACTTACCACCTATGTGCCAGATTAGTGGTTTTCTGCTGGGTAGGTGGCTTTCTATCCATACTGATGCCTGCAGTCCTTATGTCCCAGGTGCCCTTCTGTGGCCCTAACATCATTGATCATTTTTTCTGTGACCTGGGACCATTACTGGCTCTGTCTTGTGTTCCAGTTCCCAAAACTACTCTAACTTGTGCTACTGTAAGTTCTCTTATCATCTTTATCACCTTCCTCTACATTCTTGGGTCCTATACCTTAGTTTTGCGGGCTGTACTTCGGGTCCCAGCTGGCTCAGGTAGGAACAAAGCCTTTTCTACGTGTGCCTCACATTTCTTGGTGGTTTCCCTGTTCTATGGCTCAGTCATGGTGATGTATGTGAGTCCAGGCTCCAGGAGCCATCCTGGGACACAGAAATTTGTGACCCTGTTCTATTGCATGGCAACCCCATTCTTTAATCCTCTGATTTACAGCCTTCGGAACAAGGATATGAAAGATGCACTCAAGAAAGTCTTGGGAGTACCATCAAAAGAAATGTCTAAAAATAAAGAGAAATGAAATAAATTTTCCTATAATTCTCTCAGAAACAAAGAATTTCTCTCATTGGGGGAAAAACTATCTTTGGGGCCTGAGTGTTTGATTCCTTATTCTCATGAAAATGTGACTCATTATATGCAAAGAATCCTCATCCTGTCTCAAAAGGAAATATCCTCAGTCTTAAAAGTCCATTGTGGAAAGTTCTGTACAGTTTTCATTCATCAACTTATCATTCTCTGTTTTGGTCATTTTTTGAAGCCCTAAAACAAATGTAATCAAGTTGAGAAGTACAAAGCTAACACTCATGCTTCCAACTTGTATCTTAGCTTTTATTATCCTAGTACTATTTTTGTGTGTGTGTGTTTCAAATGTATCACTATTTTTTTTCCTTTCCACTTACAGGTTTTTCTATAATGAAATGTAGCATCTACTCATTGCACTAACAAAAATTCAGTTGTTTTATTTATAAGATCAAGAGCCCAGTATCTGTCAATGAAATGTTTTTCATTTGTGTTTTCTTTCCTACCAAGCATTGGTAAAGTGTCCAGGGTATGTAGCAAATGGAAACAGGAAATGATATGTTTGCTTCTTATAGAAAATTCTTATTCCAGCTTTGAAGAGGATACATAGAAAGGATACATTCACATATGCCAAATCATTAAGTATTCCTTATGCAAACCTGGGTTTCAGCACATTCTAAGCTTTTAGTTGAGGAACATATACTGTTACAGAAAAAAGGCATGAGAAACCAGGGAATAAATTCTGTCAGCAAAAATATAAGATACTTTCAGGCAATTAGCTCTTAAAATAAAACTTTTGACTTGGCCTGATCATCTTCCCAGCCTCAGAAGTGTTCATATTTTATTTTATTTTTATTTATTTCTGAAAGAGAGAGACAGCGTGATCAGGGGAGGATCAGAGAGAGAAGGAGATACAGAATCTGAAGCAGGCTCCAGGCTCTGAGCTGTTAGCACAGAGACCAATGCGGGGCTCAAACCCACGAACCATGAGATCATGACCTGAGCTGAAGTTGGACGCTGAACCAACTGAGCCACCTGTTCAAATTTTAAACTATGACACAAAATTTCTTTTCTGGGCTCAGTTTTTGAAGTTGTCTCCTAATGATGAAAATTAAAAAAAAGAAGCTAATGGTTTGACTGACAACATCCAACCCAGACCAGACCTCAATTTAGTTTTTCATGCAAAAATAGGTATCTTAAAGTCCTCTTTCAAGTTATTTTGGCTTTGGGGACATTTTCTATAATAGAATATGCTGAGTGATTGAACTTCCTAGACCACCAGAGGAAAATTCAAGACAACCTACAGTACTAAAGGGTTAGTGTCTTCCTGTCCTTGGCAGGTTACTGGGACTGCACCTATCTGAGGTAACTCTACTCTTATGTAATTATAACAGGGTTCTTACTTACATACAACAGAAGCTGACTCTGGCTGATTAAGCATAACAGTGGGGAAGATTTATTGATGGGATATCAGGAATCTCACAGAATCAATGGAGGCTGAAGAATCAGAGAGGCTCAGATTCAAAGACCAGCATAGAAACTACCCTGTAGAACTGGTCTGATGAAAAATCACCATCACTAGAGCCACACCTGTGGCCATAGGCTACCAGATGCCACAGTTTCAACCATTGCCATTCTGTCTTTCCTGCAATAACTGGGCTATCTGCTTCACTGCTGTTTTTAATGCTAATATTTCAACATTGCTGTCCCCCGACCCTACATCTGCTTCTTGCATCACTAACCCCTAAATCAAAATCAGCTGTATCTGCATGGTGGAATGAAAAGTACATCCCTATGCTGTAGCTCCAAGAAAGCCTGAGAGAACTAATACCTGGCACTAAAAAAAATAAATCCAGTTATGCAGAGATAAGCTCCAAGCCTACTAATCTTGTAATTCTCCCACCCATTAAAAATGAATTGAGAGCATGGAGGAGGGCACTTGTGGGGATGAGCACTGGGTGTTATATGGAAACCAACTTGACAATAAACTATTTAAAAAAATGAATTGAGATAATAAAGAGCCAAAATAAAAGAAAAATACTAAGTATAACAACCTATTTATTTCTCCCCAAGATATCCCTGGGCCATGTTGCCTCTAGAAGTTACACAGGATAGGACTTAACTAAATGACTATCTGTATAATAGCACTGAAGTAGAAGCAGGATGAGAAAGAGGGAATAAATTTCCCTATGGGTAGTTGAGGGTTTGTCTATCTCATGATGAGTGCTGTTAGAATACAGTCTGAACTTTTAAGTTATGTCTGTATTATCTGCAGTCCTGAGAAACAGAAGTTCAACCAAAGGGGGGAAAAATCATCCCCCTGTAGGAAAGACTCCATTAGCTGCAGTGAGATTTAATGCTGCCCACTCACCTTTTTTAGAACTGGTAAAGAGTGAAAAAGGAAGATTCTTCACTTACTCTTTCACCTTAAGAGGTAATTCTACTTTTATGTTTTGCCTGGGGGAAAAATGGACCACAATTAACCAAATAACTGAAATCTTTATATCTGGGTTTTCATAGTATCTAAAAAAAAAGAGAGATAAATATTTTAAAATTAAATATTTAAAATTAAATATTTTTTTGTTTTGGTCTAAATGTTATATTCATATATCTTTCAATGACCAGAGCTTAATGACCCTGAGATGAATAATATTCTATTTTCTCTATTTTCTTTTTATTACACAAGTAATACATTTTATAATGAGTAAATTTTCATTATAAAATATCAAATAGTACAAAATAATGAAAATCCTCATATCTCCATACTTGCGCACGCGCGCACACACACACACACCTGTCTCTGTAGCAATGTGTTCAGTTTGGTGGGGATGCTTCTAGACCTTTTTATGTGCACTTATATAAAGAAATATATATTCTGGGTCTTGAATGATGATGTGAATTGGATTATACTTAAAAATTGCTCTACAACTGACTGACCCTCACACCCACCCCCTAGTCTCATCTAAAAAGCAATGTCTAAGAGGGAAATTTCATCCAGCTTCTGAAAGGGCTTCTAACTATTGGTCTGGAACACATTAGGACAATGAAGCTGAGGAGACAATTCTTCAAGAAAGACCCACTCCGAGGAGGCAGTTCATGGATGTGTGAGCCCACTACTTCCATGATGTCATGTACTCAGGAGGTTCTTCTGCCACCAGATCCAGGTTAAAATTTTAAAAAACCTGCGAAATAGGAGTATACTTGTTCCCTCTAGGCAAAGAAACTATATTCTGAAAAATAAAGACAATTCAGTTATTTGATGAACTTCATAATTTTTAAGTTATATATTTAGTCCTCAGACTTCTCTAACTATGCCTGCACTATCCAACACAATAACCATGACCCACATGTGGCTACGGACCACTTGAAATATGACCAGTTCTAGTCGGGGCGCCTGGGTGGCTCAGTCGGTTGAGCATCGACTTTGGCTAAGGTCATGATCTCGCAGTTTGTGGGTTCAAGCTCTTCGTCAGGCTCTGTGCTGATAGCTAGCTCAGAGCCTGGAGCCTGCTTCTGATTCTGTGTTTCCCTTTCTCTGCCCCTTACCCACTCGCACTCTGCCTCTGTCTCTTTCTTTCTCTCTCTCTCAGAAAAAAAAAAGAAAAAGAAAAAGAAATGTGGCCAGTTCTTTCAGCCACTCTGGAAGACAGTATGGAACTTCCTCAAAAAGTTAAAAATATAATCACCCTATGACCCAACAACTGCACTACTAGGTATTTACCCAAAGGATACTAAATACAGATTCAAAGGGGGCACATGTGCCCCAATGCTTATAGCAACATTATCAACAATAAGACTCAACTATAGAGAACAAACTGAAATTAATTATATACATATTGTATTTTATATATTTATTTCTCTATATCTTTGTTTCTGTCTCTTCATACTAGAATATGAAACTCATGGAGTTAGAAATTATTACTATCCCTCAATGGCCAGAGAAGTGCCTAACATATAGTTACAACTCAATAAATGTTTGTTAAATGAACCTGTAAATGAAAGAAACAATTATTTGAGTTCCTACTATTAAAGAAGCCATTCAATTAATACTCTGCTTACAGCAATGGATAGGTCAACCAGACAGAAAATCACTAAAGAAATAATGGACTTGAAAGACACATTAGACCAGATGGATCTGATGGATACATTTAGAACTCTACGTCCTGAGTCCAGGGTATTCACACTCTTCTCAAGTACACATGGCACATTCTCCAAGATAGATCACATACTGGGACATAAAGCAGGCCTCAATAAATATAAAAGAATTGAGATCATACCATGCACACTTTCAGATCATAATGCTTTGAAACTTGAAATCAATCATAGGAAGAAGTCTGGAAAGCCTCCAAAAACACGAAGGTTAAAGAACACCCTACTAAAGAATGAATGGGCCAATCAGGCAACTAGAAAGGAAATTAAAAAATATATGGAAACAAATGAAAATGAAAAGACAACAATCCAAACTCTATGGGATGCGGCAAAGGTAGTCTTAAGAGGAAAGTACATTGCACTCCAGGCCTATTTCAAGAAATTACAAAAAGAGCAAGACCAAAATCTAACAGCTCACCTAAAGGAACTAGAGGCAGAGCAACAAGAATGACCTAAACCCAGGAGAAGAAGAGAAATAGTAAAAATCAGAGCAGAAATAAACAACGTAAAGACCAAAGAAACAAATGAACAGATCAATAAAACCAAGAGTTGGTTCTTTGAAAAAATAAACAAAATTGACAAACCTCTAGCCAGGCTTCTCAAAAAGAAAAGAGAGAGCACCCAAATAGACAAAATCATGAATGAAAATGGACTTATAATAACCAACCCCTCAGAAATACAAGCAATTATCAGGGAATACTATGAAAAATTATATGCCAACAAACTGGACAACTTAGAAGAAAAGGACAAATTCCTAAACACACACTCACTACCAAAATTCACACGGGAAGAGATAGGAAATCTGAAGAGGTCCATAACTAGTGAAGAAATCAAATCAGTGATCAAAAATGT